AGATATAACGCTCGTAAAAGTGCCGGGCCAGGGACATGATAACCCAGCACCTATGGAATTTCGAGTTGAAACCTATGCCAATATTTAGTACCTAATTTATACTAATTTGTACCTAAAAAATTAGAATTTGTACCCCTCGGGAACTGGAGAAATAACGCTTGTAAAACTGCCGGGCCATGGACATGATGGCCCGGCACCTATGGAATTTTAGTTGAAACCTATGCCAATATTTTGTAACTAATTTGTACCTAAAAAATTAGAATTTGTACCCCTCAGGAACCGGAGATATAAAGCTCGTAAAAGTGCCGGGACCGGGAATGGTCCATCCCGGCGACCTATGGAATTTCGAGTTGAAACTTATGCCAATATTTAGTACATAATTTGTACTATTTGTACACCAAAAATTAGAATTTGTACCCCTCAGGAACCGGAGATATAAAGCTCGAAAGTCCGCTACCGGAAGTTCCATCTCCCTGGCCGACACCAATGGAATTTCGAGTTGAAACTTATGCCAATATTTAGTACATGATTTGTACTAATTTGTACCTCAATAATTAGAATTTGTAGCCCACAGAAACCGGAGATATAACGCTCGTAAAAGTGTCCGGCCAGGGACATGGTGGCCCGGCACCTACGGAATTCCGAGTTGAAACCTATGCCAATATTTAGTACCTAATTTGTACTAATTAGTACCTCAAAAATTAGAATTTGTACCCCTCAGGAACCGATGATTTAACGCTCGTAAAAGTGCCGGGCCAGGGACATGGTGGCCCGGCACCTATGGAATTTTAGTTGAAACCTATGCCAATATTTTGTAACTAATTAGTACCTCAAAAATTAGAATTTGTACCACTCAGGAACCGGAGATATAACGCTCGTAAAAGTGCCGGGCCAGGGACATGGTAGCCAGGCACCTATGGCATTTGGAGTTGAAACCTATGCCAATATTTAGTACCTAATTTGTACTAATTTGTACCTCAAAAAGTAGAATTTGTACCCCTCAGGAACCGGAGATATAAAGCTCGAAAGTGCCGGGACCGGAAGTTCCATCTCCTGGCCGGCACCAATGGATTTTCGAGGTGAAACTTATGCCAATATTTAGTACATAATTTGTACTAATTTGTGCACTAAAAATTATAATTAGTACCCCTCAGGAACCGGAAATATAAAGCTCGAAAGTCCGCTACCGGAAGTTCCATCTCCCTGGCCGACACCAATGGATTTTCGAGTTGAAACTTATGCCAATATTTAGTACATGATTTGTACTAATTTGTACACTCAAAAATTAGAATCTGTACCCCTCAGGAACCGGAGATATAAAGCTCGAAAGTCCACTACCGGAAGTTCCATCTCCCTGGCGACACCAATGGATTTTCGAGTTGAAACTTATGCCAATATTTAGTACATAATTTGTACTAATTTGTACACAAAAATTAGAATTTGTACCCCTCAGGAACCGGAGATATAAAGCTCGAAAGTCCGCTACCGGAAGTTCCATCTCCCTGGCCGACACCAATGGATTTTCGAGTTGAAACTTATGCCAATATTTAGTACATAATTTGTACTAATTTGTACAGCAAAAATTAGAATTTGTACCCCTCAGGAACCGGAGATATAAAGCTCGAAAGTCCGCTACCGGAAGTTCCATCTCCCTGGCCGACACCAATGGATTTTCGAGTTGAAACTCATGCCAATATTTAGTACATAATTTGTACTAATTTGTACACCAAAAATTAGAATTTGTACCCCTCAGGAACCGGAGATATAACGCTCGTAAAAGTGCCGGGCCAGGGACATGGTTGCCCGGCACCTAGTGAATTCCGAGTTGAAACCTATGCCAATATTTAGTACCTAATTTGTACTAATCTGGACCTCAAAATTTAGAATTTGTACCACTCAGGAACCGGAGATATAACGCTCGTAAAAGTGCCGGGCCAGGGACATGGTAGCCCGGCACCTATGGATTTGGAGTTGAAACCTATGCCAATATTTAGTACCTAATTTGTACCTCAAAAATTAGAATTTGTACCCCTCAGGAACCGGAGATATAACGCTCGTAAAAGTGCCGGGCCAGGGACATGGTAGCCCGGCACCTATGGCATTTGGAGTTGAAACCTATGCCAATATTTAGTACCTAATTTGTACACAAAAAATTAGAATTTGTACCCCTCAGGAACCGGAGATATAAAGCTCGTAAAAGTGCCGTTCCATCGACATGATACATCGGCACCTATGGAATTTCGAGTTCAAACCTATGCCAATATCTGTTAACTAATTTGTACTAATTTGTACCTCAATAATTAGAATTTGTAGCCCACAGAAACCGGAGATATAACGCTCGTAAAAGTGCCGGGCCAGGACATGTGGCCCGGCACCTATGGATTTCGAGTTGAAACCTATGCCAATATTTAGTACCTAATTTGTACCTCAAAAATTAGAATTTGTACCCCTCAGGAACCGGAGATATAACGCTCGAAAGTGCCGGCCAGGGACATGGTGCCCGGCACCTATGGATTTCGAGTTGAAACCTATGCCAATATTTAGTACATATTTGTACTAATTTGTACCTCAAAAATTAGAATTTGTACTCCTCAGGAACCGGAGATATAAAGCTCGAAAAGTGCCGGGACCGGAAGTTCCATCTCCCTGGCCGACACCAATGAATTTCGAGGTGAAACTAATGCAAATATTTAGTACATAATTTGTACTAATTTGTACAGAAAAACTTAGAATTTGTACCCCTCAGGAACCGGAGATATAAAGCTCGAAAGTCCGCTACCGGAAGTTCCATCTCCCTGGCCGACACCAATGGATTTTCGAGTTGAAACTTATGCCAATATTTAGTACATAATTTGTACTAATTTGTACACCAAAAATTAGAATTTGTACCCCTCAGGAACCGGAGATATAAAGCTCGAAAGTCCGCTACCGGAAGTTCCATCTCCCTGGCCGACACCAATGGATTTTCGAGTTGAAACTTATGCCAATATTTAGTACATAATTTGTACTAATTTGTACACCAAAAATTAGAATTTGTACCCCTCAGGAACCGGAGATATAAAGCTCGAAAAGTGCCGGACCGGAAGTCCATCTCCCTGGCCGACACCAATGGATTTTCGAGTTGAAACCTATGCCAATATTTAGTACATAATTTGTACTAATTTGTACACCAAAAATTAGAATTTGTACCCCTCAGGAACCGGAGATATAACGCTCGTAAAGTGCCGGGCCAAGTACATCGTGGCCCGGCACCAATGGATTTTCGAGGTGAAACTTATGCCAATATTTAGTACATAATTTGTACTAATTTGTACCTCAAAAATTAGAATTTGTACCCCTCAGGAACCGGAGATATAACGCTCGTAAAAGTGCCGGGCCAGGACATGGTGCCCGGCACCTATGGATTTGGAGTTGAAACCTATGCCAATATTTAGTACAATTTGTACTAATTTGTACCTCAAAAATTAGAATTTGTACCCCTCAGGAACCGGAGATATAAAGCTCGTAAAAGTGCCGGGCCAGGGACATGGTAGCCCGGCACCTATGGCATTTGGAGTTGAAACCTATGCCAATATTTAGTACCTAATTTGTACTAATTTGTACCTCAAAAATTAGAATTTGTACCCCTCAGGAACCGGAGATATAAAGCTCGAAAGAGTGCCGGGACCGGAAGTTCCATCTCCCTGGCCGACACCAATGGATTTTCGAGTTGAAACTTATGCCAATATTTAGTACATGATTTGTACTAATTTGTACACCAAAAATTATAATTAGAACCCCTCAGGAACCGGAGATATAAAGCTCGAAAGTCCGCTATCGAAAGTTCCATCTCCCTGGCCGACACCAATGGATTTGAGAGTTGAAACTTATGCCAATATTTAGTACATGATTTGTACTAATTTGTACATCAAAAATTAGAATCTGTACCCCTCAGGAACCGGAGATACAAAGCTCGAAAGAGTGCCGGGACCGGAAGTCCCATCTCCCTGGCCGACACCAATGGATTTTCGAGTTGATACCTATGCCAATATTTAGTACATAATTTGTACTAATTTGTACACCAAAAATTAGACTTTGTACCCCTCAGGAACCGGAGATATAAAGCTCGAAAGAGGCCCGGGACCGGAAGTTCCATCTCCCTGGCCGACACCAATGGATTTTCGAGTTGAAACTCATGCCAATATTTAGTACATAATTTGTACTAATTTGTACACCAAAAATTATAATTAGTACCCCTCAGGAACCGGAGATATCGGTAATCTCCCGATGGCTAGAAATTGGTAATGAAGGTAAACGTGATTTTCAATATTTCAATAGTATGGGTGTCTATTCTACTGAGTTATTTTTGTTTAAAGTCTGTTATATGCAGTATAAGCCTCTTTTCCACCTCTCAATAGCAAAAGATTTTGGTAAACGATGTGCCGAAAGATACCGATTTTATAAAGGAATAACGAATCCCGATTCAAGATATAGAATTGGCCAACAATAAAAATATCAGTATCCAGTATTGGTGGTAAATGTGTTTAAGTGTCAATTGAGTATTGAGTAAGTAAAAGAGTTAAAAGAGACTGTTTCAATTTACAATAACTTTATGTTTAATAGAAGAGTTTTTACAATCAAATTGGCTCAAAGGTGTCTTTTTTCATAAAAGTATTCCTTTTTGATGAAATAACTATACATACTGCATTTCGTAACAATAAAGAAAAAGTTTTCAAATAATTATATGAAGATTATATTTTATTAAAAAACTTCATAAGATCCTATTATACTTATAAATAGTCGTATTGTCTTTATAGTCCAGAAACATAGAAAACATCAGTGGTAGGATGGATTACAAATTTACAACATAAAAAAAATATATTTTCAACATCATATATCATATATCATTCTGAAAGAGGGTAAGATAATAATAGTTGATTTATTATTACACACCTCTTATAATTATTACACAATTATTATATAATTTAACAATTTAAAAATATATACATGAATATTACAGACTAGGAGTTAATAATGAAAATAAGAATTTTATTCTGTAATAAGTAACAAAAAATATTACGATCATTTCTAATAAAAGTAACATTTTAAAATGAAAATTTATAAGTAAAAATTACATAAGGTATTTATGTATACAATTATGTACAATCTACTAAAAACAAGTCATATTTTAATTTTTAACAATAAATTCTCATCGGAGAAAATGTGCGACTATTGAAATGGATACCATTTCATTTATTAAAAGGTAAAAATAATAATAAACAATATAGTAACATATTTTCATTGGCATGGTGTATCCAATTAGAGTCAAGTTAAAAGTAATAAAACTCCATTATTCTTCTTTGACTTAGTAAGAAGAATCTTGATGTTCCATGCCCTCTTCAACAAAGTCTTTGATAAATGTTGAATACTTCGGAAAAGGAATCGGAAATAATAATTTAGGGCGCCAAAATAACGATCTCCAGTGTGTCAATACTCTTCTTCACTGTATTCATCTACCTGTAAACAGAGATTACAATACATATTATTATATTATTAGGTCCTGTTTATATTACACTTCTGTGGCTGAAGGCACCAATGTCAATATTTCTCTCTTTTGTTAAGTGTTTTAAAATTAAGAGAAATATATAGTCCACGGTATAAATCCCTTATTATCAAATTATTAACATCCGCCTAAAACTTCGTAAATGGCTTCATTTTATCGTAACCTACTAATTTTTTTATTAACAAAAAATTCTTGGAATTGCGGCATTTTTAATCTGGAGATCGGCAAACTTTGTCTATTTAATAAGGTACTAAAAATTCATTAACATCCATTTACTTTCCACTTGAATCGTAAGGTAATTTGATCACAAAATCGAGAAAAAAGGTGGCCTACAAAAATATTACGCCATTTCGGATCACCTCCACTTCAGATTGTATAGGCCAAATAATATTTTAGTAGGCCATTCCCCCCTCCCCCCGTGATTTTGTGATCAAATCATCTTATGATTCAAGTATCCTTATATACACAAATTTTAATATTTGTATTGGTGTAATCTTTACTATAATATATTAAATAATACCAACAATAGCATTTATGAAAACCGCATATGTATATTTATATAATATTGTCGGAGTCCATATTATATTAAGCTCATGTTACGTATCGAAGCGTGTTCTAATCTTTCGGAAGAGCTCGGGTGCGGTCAATTACAACTATTCTTCGTTACGATTTCTTATTTCTCCTTCAGCTAATTATCAAATTCTTTCATATTTTATATTTCACTATCTTTTATATTAGAGACCAATATATGAAATGGTCAATTGTTTAAAAACCAAAAAATTAGGGGAAGCTAATATTGAAAATTAGCCATTTATTAAGCTCTGTTGGAGAGCATCAATCAGAATAAAAACTACATTTTATTTAAAACTGCTTAATTTTACACTGTTATAATGAATTCAATCAAAATCGTTAGAGCCGTTTTCGGGAAAATCGTAAAAATGTGCTTAGTCCATGATATAAAGTGCCACTTCCAGTTAGCCGAATTTGACAAAAAATTTGCTGTACTGTCCCTAATATATAAAAACCTTAAATATGCAATTTTCACTTTCCTACAACTTTTTGTTTTTGAGCTAGGCTGTTAAAACACACACACAGATCATTTTGCAGGACTTAGTTATTTGGATTCAGGGGACTTCAAAACGTATTTCCATTGAAAAGTGAGATTCGAAAATTTTTACGATCGCAACACTTCTCTTCCTAATATATTTCATATATAGGTAAATGAAAAGTAAAAAGGGGCCTGTACCACGGGCTAATACAATGTAACTGTACTTAACAAAAATATTTACCCAAAAAAGTTAAAACAACTGAAAAATAATACAAAAGTCCAAATTTTTATTTTATTGCAATAAATGTTTCATGATAAAATTAAAATGTTATATTTAAATTTTTCACAATTCGCCATTTGTATATTACAGAAAATAATTTTTATTTTCACTTTTATTTTTCAATCCACATCTGTTAATTACATTTATAAACAATCAGCAAATGTTCTGGCTAAATAATAAGAGCAGAAAATAATTGATTCTTGTTCTTTTAACTCTAAAGAAATTAAAGTCTAATTATTACCAAACAGAGATAAAGATTGGTGAATGGCAGTGCAAAAAATTACAGGACGAATACGTATTAAATTGCAATAGAAATCATACGAAAGAATATTTCCATTGCTATCTTAAAACTTATCCCATTCCAATGAAATAAGTTGGTATTCTAAAATAAGGACAAACAATAGCCCGGATATAAAGTCAACAATCATCAAAACGATAGTTTACAGCATATCCTAACAATTTCGACAGGTAACCATCTATCATACCTGAATGATTAAAATACTTTTTTGCTCAAGTCAGTTATAGAAGGTTTTAGTATCGAGACCTACAAAGGGTAAATTCTGTTCAGTATGACCTCAGTTGTGGCAGGGGAGAGACAGGCTCAACAGATAGTCACATAATTTTATTGAAATATATTTGAATTTACTAACTCATTCCTTTTTCTTTTCTTATATAAAGTAAGACAGATTTGTAAGATAAATATTTATCAGATATTCTTAAATCGCTTATAATGTCAATATTTATTTATTTTATTTTTCAAAGCTGGTTAATAATTTTAATTACATCTATCTCAATCTAACTAAAGGTAACTTACATTACTGACAGCGGACGACTCCGCTTCTTCCTCATCAACTCCATCGTCTTCATCCTCTGACGGAAGCTCTTTTTTATTTCTCTCTTTAATCTGTGAATACAACTTCAACTCTTCTGGCTTCAGACTCTATAAAACAGTGCATTAAACATTGGTTACAAATCATGATTAACTTGATTAATTAAATATTAAATATACATCCCACCAGTTTTCCAACGTAAGTACACCACAGACATAACACAACAGTACTCTTTATATACACTTAGCACTAATACTGACACAAAGGTCACATACAGTACTCGCCTGAGGGCCACCTTTCCTGGGAAGACCCATCGTTAAGGGATATTCCCTGGCCACCCTTCCTCCTGAGGAGATTTAAATATTCAGGGACCGGTCGTCCTGAGGATATGGAGCCTCTATTTTGGAATCAAATAAACAACACAAGCCGGAGATTTGGAAATTTAGTGATTGTGGTGATATGAACACAAGATCTGGGATAGAGTGTGGAATAATATGTGGGGGAGAATTTGTTTAAAATGGTAACGGACAAAGAAGGTTTACTATTTTACTAATGATCTTCTGATCGGTAAAAATGATTTTCAACCATAAAAAGATCCTTCAAGTGACCTTTGAAGCATAAGGAAGAGAAGGAAGTAGCATTATTGATTATTTTGTCTATAGCAAAGAAGTCAGAGAGTTCTTCACAGATGTTAAGGGAATTAGAGAAGCAGATAACGGATTGCAAGCGGCAGAAACTAAAAAGATAACAAGTGCTTTGGCAAGAAGAAAAGAATAACAAATATAGGCTGATGTCCTGAAAAGGGAGCTTAAAGGAACAAGTGGGAACCGAGACCTGAACACCTTCGGACATGATGTCACGAATTTCATTCTACGAGCTGCAACAGTAAAAAGAAAATTTCTTCCAGTACCAAGAAGACAAAAAGGTATTTTAGCACTGGAGGAGCCAGGGCCCAAAAATTGACCTGATCACGGGTGAAGGTTTGTTTGTAAACTACGAAAGTGTATGTTATTCTGAGTAAAAAAAAACATGTCTGCCGTTCCAAAGCCCCTGTTTTAAAAAATGGCGGCTGATTCGAAGAATATTAGGCCAATAATTTTAGGACCGAAACGACAAATCCATTGCGAAAAATGTGAGAAAAGTTTTTATATTTTTAACTTGTATATATGGATTTAGACATGTAAAAAACAAAATTGCTAACGCGGACCACCAAGGGAAAACTTTATAGCGAAAAAAGTCAGATTTTTTGGGGTTTTTCCCTATCTAAATGCTGCATCAAAGCAAAAAATGTATCCTTTAATAAATTAAAGAACGTTAAATTTGCGTCAAACGAGGACATAAACATTAAAATTTGGTTACGCGGTAAGGTGTAAAACTACAGTCAACCAATGCTGAGTTTTACGAAATTTGTCGAAAAACTGAGACAAATTACTATAAATGGAGTTGTAACTTGGAAATGAGTTCCCTAAGAGGAAAAACCCATAGAATCAAAGTTGTAGAGCATCAAATTTTGTGTATAATGAGTACCAACTAATTTAATGTAGGTCACTTCACTTGCTACGAACTAAACCGGTAATCTACCGATGGTTAGAAATTGGTAATGAAGGTAAACATGATTTTTAATGTTTCAATAGTATGGGTGTCTATTCTAATGAGTTATTTTTGTTTAATGTCTGTTACATGCAGTATAAGCCTCTTTTTCACCTCTCGACAGCAAAAGATTTTGGTAAACGATGTGCCGAAAGATACTGAATTTTATAAAGGAATAACGAATCCCGATTCAATATATATAATTGGCCAACAATAAAAATGTCAGTACTCAGTAAACGCAAATACGAGTATTAGTATACGAGATTACCGATTTTGTTCCCAGCAAGTGACCTACATTAAATTAGTTGGTACTCACTCATTATACGCAAAATTTGATGCTCTACAACTTTGATTCTAGGGGTTTTTCCTCTTAGGGAACTCATTTCCAAATTACAGAGCCATTTATAGTAATTTGTCTCAGTTTTTGACAAATTTGGTAAAACTCAGCATTGGTTGACTGTAGTTTTATACCTTACCACGTAACCAAATTTTAATGTTCATGTACTTGTTTGACGCAAAATTTAATGTTCTTTAATTTATTAAAGAATACATTTTTCGCTTTGATGCATCGTTTAGGAGTTATAGTGGAAAAACCCAAAAAATATCGAAAAAATCTGACTTTTTTGGCTGTAAAAAGTTTTCCCTTGGTGACCTGCGTTAGCAATTTTGTTTTTTACATGTCTAATACCATATATACAAGCTAAAAAAATAAAAACTTTTCTAAGATTTTTCGCAATGGATTTCTTGTTTCGATCCTCAAATTATTGGCCTAATATTCTTTAATTTCATACATTAATTTAACTCGTATCAATATCACCAACTCCTCTAAAACACTCCTTAATATGATTGTCACAGAATTTGAAATTTTAACAAAAAAAGAACAAGATGTGTGGCTTAAGACCACGCGATAGGAGTGAAACCATCAACCTGGCAAGATTAATAATATGAAATATAAATTATAAATAATAGCTCATTATAAAGAGAATGAAAAGATGAACAATTCTCTTGCTTACAGTATGCAGGTCTCATTCTTAGTTTCTGAGATACTTTAATGCATATCTTTAATTAAACTAGTTATTATTTGGTTATCGACACTATTTTTTTCTTTTTCACCTCCCTAACACGGCATCGCGATACAATTTTGAATAACAGCCCATTACAGAGAGTAGGAAATGCATATGCAAAAACACTTCAATTATTTTACTCCAGCCAACTTTACCCAAGCATTACACATCGGAAATCTGAACAAATTTCCTTCAAAAAGTGATTTTTAAAAATTTAAAATACTCATATAACAAACCTTAAGGAAAGCTCGATAGTTTGTAATATATTCCTTTTTGGCTTCTTCTAATTTCTGCTCATAATTCCTCTTTTCCAAGTCACTTAATAAATTCCAGGCTTTAATCGCCTTTTTTTCACTCAAACCTTTCTTCAAATATTCATCTCTGAAGAGAATAAAAGGCTCCCTAAAACAAAATAAATATATAAATGAATTCTTAAATATATAATAATGTTATTATATAAAACATATAATAAGAGTATGAAAAACTTACGTTGGAGCAGAGGGTGGCTCCTTTGCCATAAGTTCTTCCTCAGTATAAAGTATTTTTCTCTGTAATATAAGTGACATTAATTGTAAAAAATATAAGTAAAAACAACAAAAGCACGCTACATACTGATAAATGAGACAAAAGCTCAAATTTTTTTTAGGATCCTTAAGAGTTTAGATGCATACACCATTAAGTAATTTAATTGATGCTTTAAAGTAGCTTGGAAGATGAAAGTTTCATCTAGTTAGGCCAAATAGCACGCAGCATGCAAGGTACATCTGTTCTTATTTGTCAACTGTGACATAGCTAAACGGTACTGAACTCTTTCTTTTAGTTAGGCTTATTAAGACGGAGAAGAACTTGTGACCTATGTCGACTTTTATCTCCCAAGAAAAAAGAATTTTTCAGAAAGTAAAACAGCATAAATCAATTTCATTTTTACTTCCCCTAACTAATAAATGAATTATTTAGTAAGGGAAAATATGAAAAATTTGAAACCGAGTATTCAATGGAAATGAACGTTTCTATTAAGATTGACTCTGTCCTTTCTGCATTTAAATTCAACTTGTTAGCTCTCGCCCAATCACAAATTCTATCCAAGTCTTCTTGAAGTTTTTCTGTGGCTGATGATAGGTCGGTTGGCACGAAGGACAGATATACAACTGTTCATTTATTAATTGAACTACTTGTTGCTCAAATCGTAAACTGTAATTTATATGTATTCTGCAGTTCAGATTGCATTATTTTTATCAACATAAAATAAACGGAATAAAAGCAAAGTTCGGACAAAATTTTAATTCTTTAAAAATTAAGTCTTTAAAATTCTGTATTATACATCATGCCTTATTGCCAATTTGTAACTATAAGAGAGAAGTGATTCTGGGAATAAGTGTAGTATCTTCGTTATGGTCAGTCCCGCTTTGTATATATAAAATAAAATATGATAGTCACTAAAAAGTTTTTTATGTAATAGAGAGATTTAAAGTATTTTATTCTGAAATGCAATAATAAATATCAGTCTCAAAGCAAAAAGTTCTTATCATTATGTTAGAACATAACATAATGACATAACTGTTCTCTCTGAGGATGATCCTAGAAAAGACTATGGAGCGTAAGGTAGTCACCCACCATTTATTCCTAGATTTTAAAGCAGCATACGACAGCGTTGATAGAACGCAACTATACAACTGTGCCTTGGAGGAGCTAAGCATCCCTCAGAAGCTCGTATGCCTAATCAAGATGACCATGGACAGCTCGAGATGTAGAATACACGTCGGTTCTGACGACTCCGAAGAGTTTAAAGTGAGCAGTGGGGTTAGACAAGGGGATGCCCTCGCCTGTCTATTGTTCAACTTGGCAGAGGAGAAAGCTATAAGAGACTCCGGTATTCAGACCAACGATATAATCTTCAATCGCCTGACACAGCTTCTTGGTTTTGCTGATGATATTGACATAATAGGTAGGTCTGAACGGGCTCTCAGAGAAGCGTTTATAGGCCTTGAAGCAGCTGCAAGACCACTTGGTCTAGAAGTCAACGAGAGGAAAACTAAGTATATGAGAGTTGGTGGTGAGGTGGATCTGAACTCTCCATTTGAGGTAGGTTCTTTTAAGTTTGAGAGAGTGAAAAGTTTTGTATACCTTGGGTCTGAAATTAATAGCAAAAATGACATGGCTCAAGAAATACAAAGAAGGATCACGGCTGCCAATAGATGTGTCTTTGGACTTGGCCGACACTTAAGAAGTAGGTACCTCTCAAAGAAGACCAAGCTGATCATATACAAGACCCTTGTTCGGCCTGTTTTGACATATGGCTCAGAGGCTTGGACGATGAATAAAAACGATGAGATGAAGCTGAGTGTGTTTGAGCGAGGAGTCCTCAGAAGGATTTATGGTCCAGTAAAGGAGGGTGATGTCTGGAGGAAAAGAAAAAATAGGGAGCTCAGTTCTCTCTATACAGACATCGACGTAGTCACGTATATTAAACTGGCCAGACTAAGGTGGGCAGGGCATGTGGCCAGAATGAGCACCGTTGAGATACCCAAGAAAATAATGATGGAGGAGCTGCACCTCGCAAGACGGGTAGGAAGGCCGAGGACGAGGTGGTTGGACAACGTGGCTTATGATGGGAGAACTCTGCTTAGTGTACGGAACTGGAGAGCTGCAGCAGAAGACAGAGCCAACTGGCGGAGGCTCTTGGAGGAGGCCCAGTCTCGGTAACGGGATGTCGTGCCACATATGATGATGATGATGATGTTAGAACATATTTCATTGTAAAACAAACAAGCAGAATGTGTAAATTAAGTTAATGCTCCCAAGTGTCAGAATTATTTTAAGGAAAGTGTCACTAAGCATTGTAAATATTAATTTTTCCTAATCGAATAATTAGAGAATTCTTTATTGAATATTTAATGTTTTCTTTTATGTCATATTTTACATTTTTTTTATTGAATATTATAGACATATTCTACGGGTTTTACTATATTAAAGTCTAAGCTCTGGAAATTAATAATTAGTAATACCAATACTATCAAAAAGTGACAGAGTCCAACGATTGCATGACATAATTCAATTAACACCAAAACCATACATCAAGAATCAAATAAGTAATATTCAGATAAGAGAAAAAATTACCGTAGCTGGTTCGGGAGTTTTTGTTATTGCATCTAAAGTTGTCTGCTTAAGTTTTTTGTTTGAATTACTCGCTGCACCAGCTCTAAGCTTCTTTTTAGGTGCGTTACTGGCCAACTCTTCTTCTCTCTTGTCTTCAGACAGAGAATCGAGGTAAGTAGCATATTCCAATTTGTAATTTTCAAGGAGCTAAATAAAAATTAAAAATAAAAAAAATATTAACAACGATTTGGAATGTGATATCAAAGATTACATAATCAATTAACATGAAGTATTTTTAGATAAAAGGAGAAATTTATCAATATATTTTACAAAAAATTATATACAGTAGAGTACAGCAAATTTACCAAAAAACCCAAATTAAATGGATTTTTCTGAGAAATACCTACAATAATTTATTTTTTATAAATCTGTGCCCCGGAGGTAAAGAGCACCATTTTCTTTTTTTTATTAAATAATTTAGTAACATAGAAAGAAATTTTAATAGCTCAAAGTTAAGCAAAAATGCAAAAATAAAAAAATGTGACATGGTGACTCCAGAGTATAGATTTGGTAACTAAGAGAAAAAATTTAATAGCTCAAAGGTATGGAACATTAGTTTCATTGAATAAATATAAAAATGGATATCATGTTCTTTAACTCCGGGTTACAGAAATGTTAAAGGCACGATCATATTTTTACTCAATGGTAAATATTAACCCAGTGTAATATCTGAAAGAATGAAAACACCAAAATGTTTATATTTAATGACATTCTATCTGCAATATTTATAATCAAACTATATAAACAATCAACTCCAGTCATCGTCGAGACACCATAAATAAAAGGTTAATAAGTACATTATACTTAATTAATAAACATGTTTACAGCTTGTGCATTTATTTTTATTGAATATCACATGACAACCGTACCTGGTTCAGCCTAGGACTAAATACATCACTAAGGCAACTACTATTTAGTACCAATAAAGAGTGTACATTTTCCTCACAATTTATTTATTTTTTTCTATTGGGTTAAAATTAAACGTTTAAAACTATAGTTGGTATTTCTTAAATAGCCGGTCGGGGCCGACTGCTTTCTGCCAATGTTTATAACCTTAACACTGATAATTCCTATCTTCTTATTCATATTTATTGTATTATATTCATATTACTGATATTGAAAAAAAAAAAAAAAACTTTTATTTTACAACATATATATATATTAAATAGACGAAAACAAATGTAAACAGTTTGATTTGAAATTGAAATAGTCAAAAATAAATGTAATAATTCCCACAACAATAAAAAACACCTTAATTTTACAACAGACATATGAAATAGACAATGAATTAAATTTGTTAAATTCTCTTAAATTTTTTTTCCATGTTACCATAGTTGGCTCGGATAGGTTCAGCTGCTCTTTGCCCCACTGTATTGTTGTTAACGATTGTCAAAGACCAACCATAAATGAATTTTAATGCCGATAAAAAAAAGAAATCCTCGACCCCTCTAACTAGTGATGGAGTGTTTAGTAGCAACCTACTTAATTTAAACAGTTTCTTTCATTAAACTGTTTCACTCGAGATTAAACAGATACAAGAATTACCTTCCATTAGGGGAAGGCAAGTTGTTCTTAAAATCAGCGCTGAACTCATCGATGCCATCGAACAGATCTCTAAACGGAGCAAAATGAAGCCATTGATGAACTCAGTGCTGAGTTTAGGAACCTACTCAAGACAATTTACTTTACAGGTTAGTAGTAGTAGTGGAGACAGCGATCCGGAAGGGAAATGAGGGAAACACTAAAACCGTTTAATTTAAACAGGCATACTGTTTACTGTTTAGTGAACAGTTTTAGCAACTCCTTTTTCTATGTAAATTACTATTTGTTCGTTATTTTAACTAATAAATTTATATAATTCCTTTAAAATATGTTATGCTTCGTTATGATTATAATTTTAATGTTACTTTGTCTTTTATTAGCAATTATAAATACTTTTTCTTTTGCCCCACAGTTGATATATTTTGAAGGTATAATTAAAGCGATAATTATTTTGAAGACAAAAATTATAATCATCAAACACTAATTATTTATTATTAATACGATATTTTTTTTTGTCTTGTTCACTCCACTCTATAAACATTGTGACTAATTAATTTCTAGTTAATGTAAGTGAATAATTTTTTAAAACTGTTTTTTTAAAGTAGCAGAAGAAACTGTTGCAACTACTACTGATATTAAACAGCTTTGCCCATCACTATCGCTAACCACGTTCCTTTACTTATAGAAACCGTTTTTGTTACAAGTGGTAATTCTCTTATAATTTTGTTTATTATTAAACAACCTCTTATTTATTTAGGAAGTATTCCAATGATAAGAAATGAGCTTCCGAGGTTATATTATTATTATTATTATTTGTAAAATATAAGAGGGATGTTACAGTATTAAACCTTTGTTCATCAAAAATTATTTAATTGAAGTTGTGCTGAGCCCTTAACGTATTAAAATCACATACAAATATTAGCTTTGTGCGGAGTTTTCATAAGGGTCAGCTAGTTAATTGCATTTCTTTGGAGTTTAATTAATTGTATTTTTCTGCATCCCATTCTTCCTGAACAATGCATTCCCCATGTTTCTTATCACCCCCATAATATTCCCAGCACTGAAGATTTATTTCCTTTGACGATATTAGAATCCATTAAAGATTTGATGCCTACTATTATCATCACATAACAGGTTTATAATATTTGCCTTAAAAAATTATTTTTCTATTTTACCCGGAGTATGAAAATAAATATAGAGGTAAGCTCTCACTTTATTTATTTAATAAAATATAATACTTACATGCTTTACTTTCTCAGCATATTCCTCCCTCTCGACTTTGGGTACCTCCTTCCACAGCCGGGCAATCTCTTGCAAGCGTTGCTTAGGTGTCTCAAACTTTTCTTTAATGTTTGGATCCTTCAACATCAGTCGAGAGAACAGGCTGTAGGCAGAGTTTGGAGGCTTCTCGGGCTTACCTTCCACCCTGAAAACGGTTTTCACCACGGATATTTTATAAAAAAAGCCACAAATAACTTATTTTAAATTTTAAAAAATAAACTATAAAATTACTTTGGCTAACCATAACAATGTAATACAGGAAGACAACAATAAAAATAATAATAAAGAATAGAATATATCAATGAACAATATAAACATATACTGGTGTCTTGATAATATGAGCTTTAATAATTTTTTTAAATGTGCATATGTATTAATGATGCATTTCTAAAAATAAAATAAAAGAAGAAAAGTAGAGTTTGCTCAGAAAACCATAAACTAAAGATGTTTGCATTCCTTTGCCATTTATCCCTACAGTTCATGGATTCCTTCCTCCTCCAATTTTTCAAAAAAAAGGATTGGTGCGACAGTGACAACAATTTTGGTTAGCTAAATCTTATAATTATTATCACATACCTGTCTAAGATTTCTTTTTCAGCTTTAGAAAGTATTGACTTAAAAGGTGGAGCTTCAAAGTTAGGATTTTCAGCAGTGTACAGCTTAATTTCTTCCTATGGAAAAAGTAAAAAAAATCTTTTTATTTTTCTTAATGGAAAAAAATACACATCTTTATGGGCAGTAAAATATAGATAGCGTTTAATCTTTCTATAATTATGGATTGTTTCTTTATTGTAGTTTAATATAAAGAATTAATATAATTAATAAACAGAATTAATAACAAAATTAATATAAAGATAAGTTAAAAATAAAATAAAATAGCAATATATTAAGGTTGATATATTGATTCCTAGATGATTGATTGACAAGTTTATTCAGCAATAAGCAACATATTCAAACCTAAACAGTAATAATTTCGCAAAAAAAAAAAAGATGATATATCAATCTTTGAAATTGCGGAATCTGATAAAATTTCACTATCCATCGATTTCTAGAAGATCGACTGAGACCCCAACATGGAGTTTTGAAAACGTACATGGCCACGACAACTAAACACGCAATCCTCGTTAATTTTAATTTTTTCACTTTACTATTGTTTTAAATAAACAAAATGGCATTTAATAGTGAGGCAAAAGAAACTTTGGTAATTCCAGATGGGTCAAAAGTTAGTTTGTATGGGGAAAATTTATTAGTTAATGATAAAGAAAATAATGCGCAGGTCCAAGTAGCCGACAAACCAATTCAAATACATGACAGTGCTAACTCGGGAGTATCGGATATTCAATCGATATTAAGTCAAAATCTAGCCGGCTTTAATGAAATGAAAAAAGAAGTAAAAAATAGTTTTGAAAAAATGGAACGAAATGTCGAAACAGAAATAAAAAATGAAAACAGTAGTAAGGCCAAACAATGGGAAGAAAGATATGAAAATTGTACCATTAATAATAACCAAAAATATGATACTGACATAAATGATTTAAAACAAAATCTTAATAAAGAGATAGTATGCGTGGCAAATAATTTATCTACAAAATTAGATAAAAAAGAAAATACAATAATAAATCAAATAAATGTATGTCAAGCAGAAAATGTTAAAATAAGCGGCAAACTTGAAAATATTGAACTAAAGAGCAGTCAAAGGAAATAGGTCAATTACGGAGGAAAATAATTAATGAAAACATAAGAACCCTTTGCACCAGTCCTGTCTTAACAACTATAACTAAAATAGAGAAGTGCGAATTTCGAGATTTCAAGAAAAGTGATCCATTTCAAAATTAAAAAATAATAATAAAGTTAAAATAAATAAGTGGAAAGAATTTTTGGAAAATTTTAATATTGTTAAATTCTTTACATCCATAAAGAACCCTTTAGAGAATAAAAAATGGGTTAGTAATTGCCCCAAATTGAAGCCACGCTTAATGGAACTTATAACACAACTATAAGTATGACACTAAAGCAAGCAATGTTTGGGGTCAGTCCATTAAAATTCTGGGACTTATTTTTCGGTTTTGATCCAGGAGGGATAAACGTAGATCCGGATGATATAGATAAGTTATTGGTACCATTATTAAGGTTACCTCGGCCTTGCTTCATGGATGTTCTCTTTTCTCCTTCCAACGAAAATTATCTTATGCCATACTATTAAATATGCCTCATTGTATTGTAAATAAACTTGATTAGTTTTATCATTTAAATAGGATTATATTTTGTGCTGTGTAATTAAAAGAGAAATACTGTAAAAAAATGAAGGAGTAAAATAAAAATCCTCTGTTGTAATGTATGTAAATTAATGTAATATAGTTTTAAGAATTCAAGAATTTAGTATATAAAATTGTAAATATTTGCTAACAAGATTGGTAAATCTATTGTAAAAAGTGTGAATGTCATTGTAATTAGTATGAATGTCAAATGTTAAGTTTATTATTTCATATGAAAAAAAAAAGTAAATATTTCACCGAATTATGAATTTCCATTTTTATTATTTTTAAACTGCAACGGAGGAGAATGTAATGTCAATATTACACAGTGTTTTTGAATATTGGCGTGAAGGTGGTGACATCACGAACTACTGACAGGAATGACAGAGGGCGGGGGGGAAAGCAAGTCCCATAGGTTAAAGGCAGAAGGTAGCCAGCCGACTAGGAACCAGGATCGGTGAGAAGAAATTGGTCCCCAAGTAGTCAGTGTCGACAGTAGAAGGTTGTGGAAGAGAGGTAGCTGAACCAGAGGGTGAGTGAAGAATATATAAATGGACAGATCGAATGCTCCCCAAGAATAGACTCCGACAAATTTAATGGAAATTTATAAATAAGTGTTATAATAATTAATGTATGCTTTTATATAGTATAAATGAGGATGTATGTTAGTTGTCTAAACCCAACCTGGGAATTAATTATTGTGTGAAAAATAAATATACTGAATAAGAAACTGGTTGTTTACTTTTTTGAAGGTAACGTAACCTTACAAAATATGTAAGTGAAAATAAAAAGTTGTTGAAATTATATTTAATTTTGTTTTTTTCACTGCTCCAAAGGTATATTGGATTGAACACATTGATTTTTTAAATATTTAGTGATTTAATTTTCTCAAATTTTAATTTATAAGTATGAAATTTAGAAATATGTACCTATTTGTTTTTTCACAAGAGGTTCTGATTTTTCAGGGCTTGAAAACAATTTCAACTTAGTATTCTCAAAATCACCATGTAATATTTACATTACAATATATAGGTCTTTGGAATATTTCTATTGGCTGAAATTTGAACATAGGTAGATCCATTGATGATCGAATGAAACCTCCATTTAGCAATAAGTGAAACTTCAACAATAAGGCCATAAGGCTGATACATCGGTATCAGCTCATATTTCTATACAGGTCGATCCCTAAACAACTGATTGACATGTTTTTTTCAGCAATAATAAGAATATTTCAAATAAATATCGATAAAATAAGGCTGACAAGTTAATATATCAGTCTTTGGAATACTTTTATTAGCTACAATATCTATCTGTATAGATATTGAAGCCAATAAATCAATCTATGTTGATCTTTAGATGACTGATTTGACATTTTCATTCAGCAATAAGGATTTTTCATTAAGCAATTTTCCAAGCAACACAATATTGAAAATGACGGATAGTAACAAAAGGCTGATACATCACTTTTTTATCAGCTAAAATTTGTTTATAGGTCAATATCTAGTTAGTTGATCGATAGCTTATTTGGTAATAAGGAGAATATTCAAAGTGAAACTGTACAAACCTTGATAATCAAGTAATTAACAGTATCGATAAAAATTTCTAAATCTTTCAATTCCTATAAATAATAAAAATATTATCTATTTGGAAATAATAAACCACTTTGCAATAACTTGCACCATTTTTTTTTATAACACGATTGAAACTATATTGGTCAACATGACTTCATTAAGCGGTGTAATATTTTGAAAACATGGAAAAAATAAAATGAAAAGATTATTTTGTTAAAAAAAAGAGGATTGCGCTCATTTTTATACTCATTGCATAATATAGTTTATATTATACATATGATATAACTGATCACTTATGATAATGTTATATATATATGGCCATTATTACAGATATATTCAATAAATATTAAAGGAGAGTTCTACTATCAAGGTTTTTTTAATATAATGGTCCATTTTAACTCTCAGATAATGTTTAATAATAATCTAAGAATTAACACAATAGAGTTTCATCACAATTACCAGGTACTTCATTTCTGCCTCGTGAGCCCAACGAATCCAAGGCATCTTCTTCCTGTTACTCATATCTTTCCATTTCTCCTTACACTCAGTTAAAAAGTCTGCAGGTACAGGTAAGTCTTCCTCCTTTAAACGTTTAAGTTTATCCTGATAAAACATCTGAAAAACGGAAAAAAGAAAATCAATCAAAACTTATATTGAGGACACATGATAGAAATGAGAAGCTGTGGCAAGTGCAATTGCCAACAGTTTTCAAGATTGATTGATGTTAAGCAGACCCTACACGGTAATTCATGAATGAACGTCACAAGAAGTTCCAAGATTGCCTACGATCGCTTTGATCACGAAGACCCCTACACGTTCAATCATTAGTTATCGTTGCTGATACCAATTTAGCTCAGTTGTAAACAAAGAAACAGCATAGATATGCTTATTTGGACATTGTCATTTATAATATTGGACATCAAGAGAAAAACGGAGATATAATAATTACTTCCTAGTGCTTGAAAATCGTTTAGACCAAAGTTAGAAAAATATAAGTCAACTACATAAAAAAATCTAGGAAAAGTATTGCAAAAATAATCAATTTGTTAAGAAAAATGGAAAAATTAATGGCAAATAAACACAACAGTTAAAGATTTTTTTTCTACAAGTAAATTGTGAAGTTTCCACTTTTTTTTCTCTTCAATTTATTGCCTACTTGACTATTTAAAGAAAAAATAGTTGAAAATGGTTAATAATAATAAAGAATAGGGATATAAACAACTATTTACTTAATAACGAGACCTAGGTAAACTAACCTATCTAGTAGTAGTCTCATAGAAAATCGTTTTGACAAAAGTTAGTAAAATAGAAGTCTACTACTTACAAAAATTAAGGAAAGGTATTGCGAAAATAATAAATTTGTTGAGGAAAATGGGAAAAGAACTGATAAATATACACAACGTTAAAGTTTTTTTTTTTCATAAAGTAAATTGTGAAGTTTCCTCATTTTTTTTTTTTAATTTGTTGCCCACTTGACTATTTAAAAGAAATAGTTGAAGATGGTTTAAAATTATAAACAATGGATATGAAAAATTATTTAACTATTTACATATAATGAAAATCAGAAATTTATAATGGTTGTGAGGCCTAGGTAACCTAACCTATCCAGCAGTATGGTTAGTCTCCCCACTACTTTTACCTCAGTCCCCCCTCCACTTCTCGTGAATGAACCTTTGATTTCCGGATGTTCGGAAATCCGCAGCGCACCACCATCAGTACTTCATTCACTACCTTACACGACAATTCGGAACGTCATTAGTGCAATTCCGATTGACCGTGTAAGGTCCCCTTTACAGTTACTGCTCCATTCATACGGATTGTAAGCGCGATAAAAGCCCCAAAACTTTCTAAATAAATCATCAGTTTACTGCAAAAAGTCATAAATCCATCATTGGTCATTGAGATTGAGAATTTCTCTCACATAAATCGTGGATCTGGTTTAGGAACTCATAGAGGAAGTATATGCACCCAATTTTCCTAGAATCTGTAGTCCACAGTCTCTTCCAACTCCACGCCACCACTCTTCCATCTCCTAATCAGTTTCTGGCCGATATTCTCTTCTCACAATGATTTCTTATCATGAGACATTCTCTCACTCACAAATACTGATGTGATAAAAATATACGATTTTTGATAGTTTTTCTCACATGTGACAATCATTTATAATCTAATAAAACGTTCCTTTCGCGAGAGAAAAGTTTAGACAAACTTGGTAAGCGTAGATTTGAAGTGGCAGGATCTACTTCCTGTACCTCTAAGCAATAAACTACTTCAAAAGAGGACATTAGTTGAAATACTGCGGACAAATAAAAAAGAAATTCCATCAATTTTCTTCAATAGAACATGACCAGTGCTGTGTACAATGTAATCATATTGTGCTTACTTATAAGGATTGTGCTAAAAAAAATTGCTTGTCTGACTGAACATTTTATTTCAAGTTTAGTACTACATTTTTATAATAATGTAAAATAGTATTTTTTTTTTTTTTTTATAACTTTGCCTGATTGAACAATTTATTTCAAGTTAAGTGCTATTATGTGAACCTTTCAGTTGACAGAATGACTAACTCTAATTTTAATTTATTGTATTTATACAATAAATTACAATTATAAATACAAATTTTTTTTTTTTTTTTCCTTTTTTCTCACCTCTACCCTAAAGGGTCATTGGCGTTTTCTATATAATTTATACTCTATTATAGTAGTTGATAATCTTTAACAATTTGAACACGATAGACTCTTTTTTCATTGTCTTGTAGTGTTCGTTTAGTGTTTTTCCTAGTTCTATTTTTTCTCTGTGCCTTTCGAATTGGGAACATTCTACTAGAAGGTGTTTCACAGTTTGTGGTGTATTATTACATTTTTCGCAAGTAGGAGCTTCTAGGCCTCTTAAAAGATTGCTATGAGTGAACTGGCAGTGCACAATCCTAAGGCGGCACAGTATAATTTCTTCACGCCTGGATCTTCTGTTGCTAGTGAGCCATTTATCGCAAGTGGCTCACTTCTTTTACTTTTCTCAACTTACACTCTTTGATCCTTCACTCTTTTTCCCACTCTGCCAGTTGTTTTTTCTTTATTTCGCGTACCCAGTCTTCTAAAGTGATGTATTTCACTCTAGTCACTTCCTCTTCTTCTCCTCCACTTCTTGCTAAATGGGCTGCATTGTCAGCTTTTTCATTCCCTAAAATTCCGCAATGAGTAGGTACCCATACCAAGACAACTGTTATTCCTTTATTTTTTACCTCCCACCAGATGTTGAGAATTTCCCTAATTATGGAGTTTCTAGGACATGGGTTATCAATGGCAGTTAAAACACTGTATGTATAAAATTTATAATATCTATACAGATGAGTAATGAGTAAGTTGATTCCAGTATTTAAATACAGAAAGGTGAATAAAGGTATAAATTTTATCACTAAAATTAATAGTAAAAAATGTTGAAATTGGAGATAGTGATTCTCTCAACTGAAATGGTCATATAATTATATTTATATAATTGAACTTTTTATAATTCCTATAACTTGTAATTATTAATAAACATCATGCCAAAAAAAAAAAATAAAAAAATAAAAATAGGTTGTGTGCTTTAAACCACATGATGGAAATGAAAACACGAACAAGGCAAGATTAATAATATAAAATTTTCTTTGTTTTACATTCACAAAGAAATAAAAATTACAATATAAGATAATCATAGTTGTGTATAAACTATTTTTTGTTCTATATTCAGAAAATAATAATATTTACAATTTATAGCACATTTTAAAGAAAATGAAATGCTGAATATATTCCTTGCTTCCAGCATACAGCTCCGAATTTAGTCCGACTTCACCTGAATGAGCTTTATACATCTGAGCACAGTCTCATTCACTCCCCACAAAGAAAAGGCAAAACCTAAAGAAGTGTTCACTTCAAAAAATTCCGTGGTTAAGGCAAAAAAATTAGTGATTAGTGAGAAAAAGTCTTACGAGCGGCCATCCATGGCATGATTGATCTAGTGACCAATGATGGGTTACGTGATATCAGAAAAGTGAGCACTTGTAACTATATCAGATATATAAAAGGGATTGTGACACTTTAATGCACTTACTGTATTTTTAAAAATCAATAAATGAGGTCATAATTCACAAAAACGTTCTTCAAAGTTCAGCACCTTGAAAAATGTACTTAGTGACTTTTTGCAATTAATCGATGAAATGGTCTATTACCATAAAAATAATTTTTCAAACAGGATTGGTAGTTCCTGAAAGTAACGTGTTTAAACAAACAAAATTTTCAGGTTTATCTATTACTATAAATAAATTTAACTTTAAATAATAATAAAAAAAAAAAAAAAACCTTGAACGGAGTAACTGGCTTCGTTGGTCCAGAGACCACTACTTTATCTTTCTTCACTTTAGAACTTTTCTTCATCTGCTTGGCCTCAAGCGGATGTTCCTCACTACAAAACAACAAATATTTTTAATATTAAACCTTTTAGTAATATTTACATTACTTTAAAAAAGTAATATATAGTACAAACTTCACATTATTAAATAAAACCATTAAAAATGAATCGCTGTAAAGACAATTAAATAAGTAACTTACAGGAATTTCTGCATTTTCTCATTATATTCTTCTCTCATTGCTACAGCCAATTTTTTATACTTTTCTCTCTTATTTTCAGAAAGTGTATGGAATTTTTCAGCCATGACTTTTGAAAGTTTACTCTAAAAAAAAACAACATAATTATAAAAAATTGTAATAACAATAGAAATAGTAGTAATATATACTATAAACCAAGTGATAAAGTGTTATTTTTAAATGACAATAGTTAACCTTTAGCTTTAGTCTTATTGTTATTTTAAATTTCACTTATTTTGATGGAAAGAGGGTTGTAACTTAATACTTTTGTCAGGTAATTTATATTATACTTCAGTTTTATGTTTTGAAGGTCATTATAGTTCAAGTTCAAAGGTCATTATTGCATTTAAACTGTTTATATTTGTATATGGGCTCCACAAAGTCATCAAATTCCTCATGTATCCAATCCTTCATAAAATCCTCAATGCTCCTTACTTTGTCACTAATAAAATCATCCATAACGACCTTAATGTTTCTTATGTTTTCGATTTGGCCCAATCTAGATAAACTTCAGAACCACCAGAACCCTCTCGTTTCTAATCTTCCTTCCTCCTCGGTCCCTGATAATTCTCCGAGATGTCTGAAAAGAAGATGGCCTCGAGATCTCTTATTGTAAATACATTTTTTTTTTTTTTTTGGGGTGCTACCAGTGGGTAGTTTCTCAAAAAGTGTTTCCCTGTTTTTATTTTCTGTTATCACATTTACTGGATGTATTTTTTCTTAAACCAGTAGTAGTATCATAAATAAATAATAAAAAAAAATATATTTATATATATGCCAGAATAAAATCATATCAAGAAAACAATACAAGATATATATTTTATCTGAAATACTTGTTATTGATAATATGAAATCAAATATCTCAAAAGAAATATTTACAGATAATAACTAAATCGAAGACAAAATAATTGAAATAATAAGGCTGTCATATAAAAAAAATACTGTAGTAACAAAGTCAATTACCATTTCAAGGTTAGGATATTTTTTTGCGAATTTCTTCTTTTTGTCCATATAGAATAGCATGAATGAAGTCAGTGGTCTCTTTGGCATGCCTGGATGGCGATTCTGGAATTAAAAGCCATAAAATTATTAAATAATTATAAATTTTTTAAAAAAAATCATTACTTGGAAATCACTTTCTTAGTGGAAACAAAGCAAACTTCACTAATTTATTAAGCAATTATTTTAAAATATACAGTGGAAACTTCATTATCATCATCCATCATTGCTAGGATAAATCAAATATAAGTGATAATTTTACTATTACTCTTACCATGTAGTTTGGGATTAGATGATAGAGTTAGCAGCCATACTCTATACTGTCGTCGGTAAAGCCGTAATTAAGCAGATAGAATCTGATGGCTTTTGACAAACGAGGTGTCAAAAGAAAAGGGATTTTATTAATAAAAGTGATTTAAAAATGTAAGTGGTCTCAATAGACTGATATTGGAAAGAATCAAGATAAGATGTTGGATTTAAAAAATTTTGAGGTAAACTTGAAGACATAGTCAGAATGTTCTTATGGAAAACCAAACCAAACCTAAAAAAAAGTCCTAAAAATTACTGTTTTCAAGATAACACAAATATTCTAGCCATAATTTCCTATATGCCACTTATCACTCGTTGTCAGAGATGGACAAATGCTATTCTTAGTACTGAATACCAAGTATTTTACTCAAATACTGATCTTTTTTGAGTACCTAAGAATTTAATTACTATTTCATTTGATGTTAAACAATTAACTGAAGTAGTGATTGAATCCACAATAGTGATTCAATTTGAGTAAAATACTTGGTACTCGGTATTCAGAATAGCATTTTTCCATCTCTGCACATTGTTCAGGTTTTTAAAGATTAAAAAATCAATATTCATTATGGTTTATAATAAACAAAGAGGGTTGCTGTTCTAATAGCCTGGAAGTACTGGAAGTAGAAAGATAGCAAGGAAGTACTGACGGCGGTAGAACAGGTAGAGCCACTTCAACTTGGTGTAATAATGCGTATCTTGATTCTGAAGACAAAACAGATTGATCAATTCATTAGACGTTTAAGTTTGGCTTCGAGATCTGACGAGAGACCACCATAAACCATACAGCCGTAGTTAAAGTGAGGAAAAACAAGAGAGGAAGCCAAGAGTTGACGGGTTTTGAACGAAAGGAGATAGAATAGATCGTTGAACTGTTTTAGGGTAGAAATAGTATGACAGGATATTGGTGATGAAGTTCTCGTCGACATCTGGCTCCTTAAGTATGAGAAATATGAACTTAGGATCCTGTTTTTATTCATTAACTTAACCGGTCTCGGAGAGTACAATACTGGGACAACAACAAATAACTGTTAGCCTACAAGGATATTTTTCAATGGGACAAGCCAATTACTTATTAAATAAACTATTACTTCAACATAGATATTATAAAGTGTGTAGCTTCACTTGTAGCCTATGTTGAGTAGAGTTTCTGTCTATTACATTATTTATACAAATAAAAATGTTTTCATATCTCTTATAATTTGAATGCATTAAGGAGAAGAAAGATAGAAATCTTATGTGAGGCTTTCCAAATCGTTATACAAATATTTGAAAACTGTGGATATTCAAATACATTATAAATTTAACACATAGAATGATTTAATGAATTTACACTTTGACACTACAAAATTTTTTCACAATAATCACTAAAATTTCTTAAATAAGTTTAAAAAAAATCATTTTAATATATTAAATCATCAAAAAATATAATTTATTTTCTAAGTTGGCATCAGAGTAATTTTAAAATAAGTTTTGTTAGATCTTCTATTTTAGAAAAGAGTTAAAGATATAAAATAATAATATATACATAGACCTACAACATATAGACATCTCACTATCATTTGTAGATAACAAAACAATACTCACTATAACACTAGATAGCCAATACTAAAATGATAAAAAAAGATTCAGACCTTTCTCTCACTTCTATAGAAGTCCGTCCATGGTTTTTCCAGCCAATCGTTGGCGTCGGACAGCAGTTCACTTAGTAGCCTGAATCCACGAATTTTCTTTTCTACGCATTTCCATTTTTCTTGACAGTCAGCAGCAGTGTAGTTGTTAAATTTAATCTGAAATATAATGTGTAATGTGTAAAACTTATATAAAAAAATAATTAGAAAGAAATTCTAATTCCGAAGGCATATTCAGCATAGAAAAATGAGTAAAAATATCGGTAAATTGGTGTCTACCAATTTTGGTGATTGAAATTCCTGACTTTTCAGTTCAGTTAAAAAGTTTTTATGAAAATTCCCAATTAGTACCAGTTTTACACATAAATAGTAATAAATCAATATATATATATATTTTTTTTTGGTTGGCACTACAGACCAAGAAGATCTTTGGCCGCGAGATGTGGTCTCCTTACAGGCGTGTGATACTTGCGGGAGCCAAGATAGCCTGGAGGGGGTCACCCAACCTCACGTTGCTACGAACCATGGTTTCCATGGTGCAGCGGCAGGCCACCCGTAGCTCCATAGCCGATCCCTTTGGGGCCAATCTGGCAATGTCCTTCCCACCGACTTTCTCGGGTTCAAGGACAGTGACAAATCGGTGTGGATCCATGAATTATGGCTGCTTAGAATCAGCATGTGCACGAGGACCTATTTCTTTCCCCAAAACAATCCGTCCATGGACAGAACCTCAGGGGGGCTATTAACATCCTGGTAAATCACATCCTGATTCCCGATTTAAGTACACGGAGTAGGGTCATCAGTCCTATGCCCGGTCGGTGTGAGTTGCCTCCAGTAGTCTGATAGGCCTCACAGACCGGGAAGGGGGAGAGACTCGGGCAGCATGGCTTTCCCTGATGGACGGTCACCCATCCAAGTACTTACTAACCACGCTCGACGTTGCTTGCATATATATATATATATATATATACATACATTGTAATATACACCTTAATTGGAAGTTGTTTTAATAAATTAATGTTGAACAGTTAAAAGGCAAGCTAATCTAGTTTCACTAATTCAGGGAAAAGAAAATGACTGTTTCCACAGTAAGGAAAATCCCAAAGAGGAGAGGGAACAAAGGATTTTGTTTTGGCAAGCAGTTGGTGTTTGGCTGGAATGAAGAAAGGATGGGAGATGGGGCCCTGGCTCCAGTAGATAAAACCGACTAGTTGATTGGAACAACAAGAGATAAGATCTCCCAGGGAGCTTGAGTTGAGTAGAAGAAAGTGCCACCATTTTGGAAGATGTATTTGGCAGAAATATCAGGCAACCAAAACTTCCTATATGAGAGGAAATAGATCAATGTTTTGATAAACACAAATAAATAACAGTAAATGTAAATAATATTATACAATTAAAATAATTACTTTTTCCCAGTCCAACTTCTGAAGCCTAGAGGTAGCTTTGAAGCTGTCATTCTTCGGTAACGCTTGCTGCATCCTGGTAAAGAGTTCTTTGAGGTCTTCTTTGGGCCAACCGTCGTAAAAGTCTTCATCTAAAAATAATTAAACAGAAAAAATAAATATTATAATTTAGAAAGTGATTTGATTAATTTTGAGTTTTATATGGATAACATTATACACTGTTTTTACTTAAACTGGAGAGATAAATTTATTTTTTCACCATTAATTTGGTAAATAATTTTTTATTATATAATAAGTTGGGATGAAGTAATGTTAATTTATTATTAGTTAATTAATAGGAATTAATATTTTTTAGAAGCTATTCATATTCTAGAAGATATAACACATAAAAATTTAAAAACTTTTATTTGATTACATCATCATATTTATTTTGTAATGTTTTGGTCATTTTCAAACATTTCTGTTTTACATATTTTATACTACCTATCTAAAAATTATTTGTAAACAATTTTTTTATTTGCCAATTTTATCTAGACCAGGAGTTTCCAAAGCACCTTCAATTCAATTCTCTTAAAATTTAGCGAATTATTCACACACAATGTTACTACAACATTTGTTGCATGCTTTTTCTTTTTCTTTTAGAGAGCTTATTTCATTGCTGAAGTCTTATTTATAGAACAAGATTTTTTTTTTCAACATGAGCCATGGTCTGCAGGACTTTGAGTGGAGTTCTCAATGAGGCCTACGGAACTTAGTAAAGGTCTCAATGAGGCCTGCAGAACTTAGTGAAGCTCTCAATCTGGCCCACATGCCAAAAAGTTAAGAGGCCACTGGTCTAGACAAGAAAAAAAATTCTTTTTTCCAGCCAGGAATTTATTTTTGGACAGATAAAGTTAAGAAGTTTTGTATTAAATATATATTGTCATATGACTAGGGAGATAAAAAAAAAGAAGAATTTGTATTTTTCTAAGAATAAAAAAAAAAAAATACAAATTTATTTTATAATATCATGAGCCACTTCTAGAAAAACCTTTTTTAGGATGGATTAGACTTATTATTTAAAGGAAGGACAATAGTTTTGAAAGGACAATGGTAGGGAATACTGAATTCTACCGAGAGAAACTGTAGATGAAAAGGAGAACTGGAATGATTTTGGGCAGACATAATTTTATTGATTTGACAGGAATGCTATCTGGTTCAATTAATCCATGGTACAGACCCCTTTTTATCAAATTATTAACATCCCCCTGAACCTTTGTATATAGCTTCATCTCATCATAACCTACAAATATTTTATTTATGAAAATTCTCGGAATTAGAGTTTTTTTTAATCTGGAGATCGACAAACTTTGTCTATTTAATTAAGCACAAATACTTGTTAATACCATTTGCTTTCCTCTTAAATCATAAAATCATTTGAGCACAAACTCGAAGAAAAGGTAGTCTTCAAAAATATTAAGCTGTTTGGTGTGACCTACAACCCCAAACTGTCAAACTAACGAGGTTACTTAGTTTTTTTTTTTAGTTGTTTGGCAATAATAACTTCCAATTGGTAACAATTGAGTATATTTTTATTATCAACGTTACATGTTAACAAGTTAGTTGACGTTAGTTGACAGGATATCAATTCCCATCTTCGGAACTGCAATCCCAATACTCTTGTGGATGCAAGGCTTAAATTTAATAATAATAATGTGCTCCATCATCAAATTTTTAATTCATGTTCTAAAATGTTTCATCTAGAGCAACATCCTCCTTTTGACCTATAATTGGGTTTCTCTATTATTATTAAATTTAAGCCTTTCATCCACAAGAGTATTGGGATTGCAGTTCCGAAGATGGGAATAGATATCCCGAAATGTCAACTAAGTGTTAACATGTAACGTTGATAATAAAAATATACTCAATTGTTACAAATTGGAAGTTATTATTGCCAAACAACTAAAATAAATAGACAACTTCCCAGAGAAAAAGAAAAAAGGAGGTTAGTTAGGCCAAACGGCCCAATATTTTGGTAGGCCACATTTTTTCTTGATTTTGTGCTCAAAATATTTTATGATACAAGTGGAAAGCAAATGGGTATATACGAGTTTTTAGTACCAAATTAAATAGAAAAGTTTGCCTACCTCCAAATTAAAAAGTTCCAATTTCATTCAAGAGTTTTTGTAAATAAAACAGTTGTAGGTTAGGATGAGATGAAGCTATTCACAAAGTTTCAGGCAGATCTTAATAATTTGATAAAAAGGGCTCTGTACCACGGACTAAATGAAATTGATGTGGGAACTGATTACAGCAGTTGAAAGGTCTGTGGGGAAATAATGGAAAAATAAAATTCATTGTCATTAAATGATATCTCTGGAAAAAAGCTGGAAGAGGTAGTAGCAACAGATATAAAATGCAAGTTTAGATCATGAGGTAATACTGAAAAAGCTGAGGGAGGGGATCTAAAAATTTACAAAGTAGTAACCAATTTGATATGATATCAGGAGCAGAGGAAAGGGTTAATGGAAGTAGGTGGATTTTACTCGCAGCATCTTGTCTGTGTCGAATGCGAAGCAGCCTAAACGCTTGCTAGTCATCTGCAAGCTTAGAATATCTAAAGCGTTTAAGGACAGCGTCGAGCCTCTTCTTTAGATTTTTAATTTCCTGACACATCAAAGGTGCAGGCTGGTGACTAAGCTAAATACTATAAAATATCCAACGCTATGAGCTAGGTGCTGATGACATGAGGTAGCTCCGTCCCCACCACTTCGCTTTAACACTAATTATCTTTGCAAATATGTATAAGAAAAATTTATGACTTTTGAAGTTTTTCCTACTGTTCTAATCTAATCTTCAATGATTAATTAAAAAAAAACAAAAAAATGAAAATAGTACCGCAACAACCCATGAAGGGTCTTGGGTTGGGTTCAGTACTATTTAGGGTAAGTACTGGTAACGGTTGTGCAAGGAGGTGCTTTGACTGAGATCATGCTCAATCACCAGGTTTTTCCCTTTAATAATAATTTAATTAAGGGTGCCCACTTTATATAGGCTAGGTGTGCCCCAGGAGAGTCTCGTAATACCAGGGTCACCCCACGGCTAATGAAACAGAATACATAATTTTTCTGCCATGAGCCGGGATTCGAACCCAGGACCTTGAGCATCGGAAGATCAGTACACTACTACTGAGCTATTCCACTCCCCTTGATGACTAATAAAAATTGAAAATTCTTTTAACCTTTAAGTTAAGCTGAGATTATATGAGGTTACTTTAATATGAATATATCTTAAAGGAAGGAGATGGTCCGGGGTGGCGGTTATAAATAGGCTAAATAGTGGCAAAACTATTTTATTAAAAGCCAACGTTTTGACCCGAATTTGCAGGTCTTCTTCAGGGCTAGAACGGACAAGATACAAAAAGATATAGAGAATTGTGGAAGTTACATAACATTTCGGCAAAAAATTATAAACAATGTGAATAAGCTTATTAAAATTATAAACAGTAATTACATTAAAATATAAACAGAGTAAGCTAGTAACAAGATCCTAAACTGAAATACATAGATGGTAACAATTGTTGTTGTGAAATATATAATATATGCAAATGTGAATATACTTCTACAGATCTACAGGAGAGATTGAAAGAAAAGGAAAAAAGGATATAATATGAAATAATAGACATAAAGGAATGTGGATAAAAAAAAGAAAACCAAAAAATAAATAAATAAGTATATAAAATTAGAAGAATAAAAATAGAGACTTAGAGGTGTGTTTAGCTAGGAGTTTCACTTAGAACTGGAAAATCAAGATAAGGGTAGGTATTGGGAAAATTTATTGACCTGTTTGAGTAACTTCCAAAATTCTCTATATCTTTTTGTGTTTGTCCGTTCTAGCTCTGAAGAAGGCCTGCAAAGTCGGGACTAAACGTTGGCTTTTAATAAAATAGTTTTGCCACTATTTAGCCTATTTATGACCGCCACCCCGGATCATCTCCTTCCTTTATAATGCAACGGTCAACTATTAAATATTCAATATGAATATATCTTAGATACAAAAAATAAAAATAACATTATAAAAAAAAAAAAGATCTTATTAATGTTTCATAAATTTTTTATAAGAGAGTCAATATGTTAATCTAATAAGATTAGAAGCACAAAAAAGGAATTAAACTGATATATAATAAATTTAATATCAATAAATTTAAATACTTTTGTTTTCATTTTCCTATACTACGGTAATACTTCAACAAACGCCAGCACAATATTAAAAAAAAAAGATAAACTTAAGGATATTTTAGAGGTATAAATATGAATTCAAAATGTTATTACCTTCAGGTATTTTATTATCAGTTTCCAAATTTGTGAATCCATATTCATGTTCTTCTGAAAAAAAAAAAATAAACATTAATTACCAAGATGCAAATAGAAAAACAAGGTAATAAGCATGAAACTATGAAAAATGACTTTTGGTTATTATTATTTTAAAACTAGAAACAGTTTGATTCTGGGTAATGGTTAATCTTCGAACATTGTCATGATTATAATTCATAGCAGTCAGTAATAAATAAAGCTTTGAAAAACAATGTGACCCAAAATTTAGTTTAAAACAGTAATATAGACATTTCCCCAACATAGTTAGATTTAAAAAGAAAAAGTATTTGTATTAACTCATATTCAATAAAAGCAGAAATCTTAAAATATTAAAATGACAGTTGATTTCTAAGCTGTTTTATCTATTTCACTGTTAATTAAAGAAAAATAATTTTTTTTTTTGGTTGTTCTCTTTAATATATTTTTATTTAACTAGTTTTTCAATAAATTCTGCATTATTACCAGATTTTTCACCTTCATTCATCATAGCATACCATAACGTATTTATTGATGCTTTTGAATAAAAGTTATACGTATTTAGTAAATATTTATTTTTTAATAAATTTATTATTACGTCTAAACTTAATGAGTCACATTTTCCTTTCTTCTCAAATTATAAACTCCCGATCCTTCCTCATACTTCATCAGCATTTTTAACATCATAATTTTTTATATTATTTGATTGATTTGAAGAATATTTTATAAAATCTGTAAGTCTATCCACTGGCCTCATAATATTAATAATTCTCGGTCTGAGATTTTGGTTGGGTTTGTGAATTTTTACAATTCCATGGATTCTAGAGTCAAATAATTATTAACTGCCAATTACGTAGTCATGTATTAGTTGATGTATCTCAATTCCTACTAATTATCAAAATATTTGTAAATTCTTTAGCTATTCAATGGATTTTTTGTACTTTTAGAAGTTCTTTTTTCATCACCAAAAGTACATAAATAGAGTTAAATAACAATAATAAACAGCATTTCATAAAGGTGCAAAGATAGTTGATTGTAGATTTCAATTTTAGAATTTAGTCGGGGGAGCAGTCAATTTATAAAATACTATTATGTAACATAGTATTATAAATACTGACCACACCCCCAACTAACTTCTAAACACCACTTCATTTATAAAATAAAATGTAAGGTATAAGATGAAAAATGTAAGGTATAAGACGAAAAATATAATACAGAGTAAACATATGAAACTTTGTAAACAGAAAAACAAAAATATTTAATTAATATAGCTAAAAATAATAGAATCCAGGATGCATTGAAACCGAAATTCATAAATAACAATAGTTAAAAAAAGGGATCCATTTCAAAACAGATATGAATAAAACTGGTAAACATTACATCTGCATAGTAAATATGGTCGATACATTATAAAAGAACCATTAATTATAAAAGCAAATCAATGTTTAAATTTAATTAACTCTAATCAAATTTAAAATAGGCTTTATTAACTGAATAAGTTTAGCTTATTTCTTCACAACACACAAAACTTACAATAAAAATACTGAAATAAATAAATTTAGAATTATTAATGTGATGATTGGAAACAACAATGATATAATAAATCAATGTATATAATATAATAAAAATCCTTTCAAAAAGAAGTTAATCACAAAATAGTGGAATGTTAATAAAATGAGTTTATCGTTACTTTTCAACTAAATACTATGTAATGGTCAGTGCAAGTCCGAGAGGTTACATAAGATGAAATAAAGGCATTAGAAGAATGAAGGCGTAGTTATTAAAAGTTTCCTTATGAATGTAACACTAAAATAGATTTTAAGCCTTTGAGATAAAAATGATATAACCTACAAATTTTATCAGTGCAAATTAAGTTGGAACATCCATCTAAAACTAGGTAACCTTAAAAATGAATACATTGAAGACATCAATGCATTGTAAAAAAAATATTGTAATGCTGGTATACTTTATTCTTTTTAGGAAGTATATTTTTAATGTCTATTTCTGTTTAAAATAGATGAGTTGCACAATCAACACAGGATTAGTATAAATATAAAAATAGCGTTTAAACTTATCTATGTTTAGCCAAATCACTGAATTAAACAAAGATTTTTGTAAAAAAAAAATAAAAATGATATGCTACCTTCAATGTGCATTTCCTCTTCTGGGAGAACTTCAATCATTTCAGGATCACCCTCTTCTCCGGAAATCTCATGAATATCTGGTTCAATTGCAATTTGAAGGCTTAATCGTTCTTTGTCTTTCTTTTTCTTTTTTACTTTTTTATTAACTATCTCATTTTCTGAGTGGTCTTCATTGGATTTTAAAATGGACTCAGAGTGCGATCTAGATGCATTCATTTGGTTTTCATGAGATTCACTATCATTATCCACATTATCTGGATAAATTGTAGTGTGCCTTTTCTTGGTTTTACCACTTTTGGGACTATCATGCTCTCCTTTGGTTTTACAACTGTCACTTAGGATTTCATCACTCTCAAAAACCACACTTTTACGCTTCTTCTTTAATCTTTTTTTAAGTAATTGTTCGTCTTCATTGTCTATTATTTCACTTTGAATTCCCATCACGATTTAAGAAACTATGAAAGTTGAATACAACAAACTAAAATATTATTTTAATATCTTTAAAAAATCAACAAAAATAATACGCAATAGGATTAATACACTTACACTACAGCACTCCACCATCAAAACTGTAAAATATATTACTCAATATAATCCAAATTCAATGCTAAAAAACGTGTAAACAACTCTGGTAGAACCTATTTCTAATCCACGGGCTTCTAACGGGCGACAATGGCGACGAATGAACGTTATACTCCCCACTGAAAAGACGCACATTTGCCCATGCTGAAGTCATGAAATGATTTACGACCCCTAATGCCATAAAAACAATTACTCCATAACCTTAAGCAAAAATTATAGTAAATATTTGTTGATTTTGTTTTTATTAATTAATATTTCGGCAGTTCTGTGTAATTTTTTCGAAATATACTTAAAAATTAATCAAAACAACAATTTATGAACGATTTTTTTATTAATTAAAGAGTCTTAAGAAACTGTTGATATCTGTGTGAATGAACCATTAATAGCTACAATAACAATAAAATTTTGTACCATCTTTTTTTATTTTGAATTCAAATGATGAAAGAGCCAAATTTTAATCATTGCAACCAACACTTTCATTCTAAAATCCAACACTGTTACCCTGGGCCCACACTACAGGCAAATCGAGGCAAATTCCCGCATTTTGCCTCAGTTTTATGGGAATTTGCCCGAGTTTGCTAGCGCCACTGTCGTAGAGAACAAAGGAAAGGGCGAGAGTGGGAGAAGGTGGTGGGGATATTTTGACCAGCTGGTGGAAGGTAATGGGCTGTTTACCCCGGTTTGTTGCATATCCATCCGAAATGGAAAACTTAGGCAAAATCCAAGCAAGTTTTGCATTATGGCCGTTGCGCTACGCTAGTGATGCATTGAATAGCCACTGTGATTGGCTGACACAGAAACTCCCATTTTCCGCTTTTTTTTGCAATATCCGGAATAAAACAAAATTAGTGCGCACAACATACAACTTTCACTTACCTTTCTACTTTGAATAGAAATTATTTTCTGGAAATGTTGAGCAATTATAAAAATTTTTAAGTGCACTTTTAACGGATCTATAGCTTAAAGGTCTACAGCTAACTAATCATTATCATCCCTAAAATAACAGAAACCCTATTAATTATATCAACGGTAGATAATAAAAACCTCCCTACCCCATCTTTTTTCGTAAACCATATAACTCCGGTCTCTGAGCAATATACATATGTCTAGAGAGATTTTCAAGTATATCTCTATATTCAACCTATAAATTATTATGGATTCTACGCCTATTAGTTATTAAACTGTTACTTTCCATTGTAAAGTTTACTACAAAGAAATTACGAGATTTTCATAGCCTGTCATAGATAGCTCAAAAGTTGTTACACTAATTTAACAAAGGGAAAATTCATCAAATTACTCACTAATTTAATTTTTTTAAATGTTATACGACGATCAACGGACGTTGATACCTAATTATTTAAATATAATATCAGATTTAGAATTATTAAACTACAGTAAATGTATTTAAGGTTATAAACATAGGCTTTATACATCCATTTAATATTTTTATATTTCACTTCTTTCACATTAGTACTATGAAATAGTTTTTTAACAATAACATTGCGTTGATTAGGTGAATTTTAAATACTTTTTCAAACTTAAAAACAATTTAAATTTAGTTAGTAAATTTCATTTATTTAATTTCCTTGAAAAAATGTGATTTCCGTTAAATAATATTAGTTTACACAAATTATTATTTATAATAATCTCTCTCCATTACATTCTATATTTCATATTGTTTTTTTCTAAAATTATCCGTTTTCCAATGATATAACTTCTGACAAGTATTGCCGGTAATTCATTTTCATCCTCAATACACATTTTCCCTTTTTTCTCCATTTTTCAATTATCAAATTCTTTCAAAAGTTATATTTAGCATTTTTTCGTAATTCTTAATAATGAGAGATGGTTAATTATTAAAAATTAATCAAATTAAAGGTACTTTAGAGGATGAAATGTTGAACATTTAGGCATTTAAGCTATGTAAAGTGACATTAATGGGGATAAGACCTCAATGATATTAAAGACCACTTAATTATACAATAATACACGAGTTTAATCAAAATTTTCTGTGCAACCAGCTTTCTGTCTTTCAGTAATAACAAACAAATCATTATAAACTACAAAAATTAAATGAAGATATTATTTGCCATTAAATGAATTATGGAAGTTTGTTAGCGGAAGGGTTCATATAAATAAAATTAAATAAGATATAATGAAATATAACATATATTTTTGAACATTTTTACATAATATATTTTAAATAACAAAACTTTTAATCCATTACTTGTTTTTCCCATTTGTCATTACTTATATATATTTATTTGATTTATTATATTTCCATATATTTGCTATTTGTACTTATCATCTTTTTGAGTGTCAGGTATATATATCATAACCTTTCGTACTTATTCATTACCTTTTATTATCATAAACTAAGTTTTTGTTAATTCATCTAATTACATTTTATTATTCATATCTAATTATTCCATTTTATGTTTCTTCTTCATTTAATACTACTCTTCATTGTTTATTTCCGTTTTATAGTTGAATTGAAATACTTTATAAAACCAATTATGTCAAGTTCCACTTTTGGTAATATTATTTCAGCCAACAATTTGCCCTAACATCGCTGCCATACTCCTATCTACCTTAATAAATAAGTATAATCACTGAACTTTTCATTTTTTAGATAGATTCTGCATTTACACAAAAAAACCATTAAGCAAAAAGTTTTTTTATGTTTTTGAAAACTCGGAGTTGAAATTTTTAATGATCCCAATACTTCGCATTACATTAAAATAAAATAATATCCATTTTCACATATTATTTAGTCAATATAAAAAAAAAGTTCAAAATATATTTATTTTTTAACCTATGCTTATTCTACTTTAGAGAGTTGAAAACAAGTATTCATTATTTTTTTAAAATGATCAGTTTATCAGTTTCTTTTTTAGTGCCCATATTTGTATCGGTCTGTCAACTAATTTTACATTTCACAGACATTAGTGTTAATCTACATCTGTTTTTTTTTTTCTTTCTATATCTTCAGTTCAAATAAAACCGAACAACTCACAAAATTACTAACCTAGACTCTAATAAAGCTGCATTAATAACATTTTAAGCACATATTGAAACACCATAATACAATACTATATTTGTAATTAAATGACTGTATCATGGTTAGAGACTAACATCATACAGTGCCAATTTTGATGCCTACTTCAATAAATAATCAACCATCCTAAGCCTAAAAAAGTTATATTTGTATAAAACATTGTCTGATTAAAATAACAATTAAGTCTAAGTGTGGAAATTTTAACCACATAGTGAGACTGCCTTTGTTTTGTTATTCGCATTTTTAATTTTAGAAATTTGACATATACCTATCATTTATTGGTTATTTATACACAAGTTGTAATATATATGTTTGAAGGGAAATGATGGAAGATGTTATTTATAATACATACAACCCATATATTTGCAAAATATAATAAATCATATACATAAACTAAATTTAATAATTATAATGTTGCTAGAAAATTAATCTTTATATCCTAACTTTGTTATTATTATACAAAATAGAAATTCTATTAATGAACAAATAAATATTTTTAGGTTCAAATATACAATACAAAATATAAATGAATTAATACAACATACAAATTAATGAATACAAGATATGTTTTTGTTTATACAACATCATGAATAAAGGAATTTAACATTACAAATAAAGCATTTTTAAATGCATCAGAAAAAGCTGAATAATAACTAATGAGTATTCTAATAATTTACTGGATTATTCTCCATCTTCTTCAAACACCTTTAAAAAGGCTTTATTAATAATATGTCTTTTTGGAGGTACAACCTTACTAGTATTTACAGAAAAAGTGTCTGTTTTATATTTTTTAAATGGCCCAGCATGTTGCTGGAAAATCACTCTTTATGGTGCATTAAAAATACCACGGGCACAGGCTGCCATCTTGTTTAAACTAGTGCTGGTTTCAATATTACAAATATTTTTATTCCACAAAGTCCGCACACATCTTCCCCAAGCCTCGTTCCATTTCACATATGCACAAACTTTGTTCTGGTTGAGGTAATTGGTCCAACCCTTCTCCTAACATGGACCCATAATTCTGTGCAATTGTTTTGGGTTTATTTGTATTTCCGCACTGTTTTTCTATTATTTGGACGAGTTTATTGAACGGGGCCATAATTTCCTCTTCGCCTTTGTTTGATTTTTTTTTTTTGTCTTAGGCTGCAATACATACCGTTGTTCAATAAAGATGAATCATCGAGTACTTCCGCCTGGCCTTCATGTTCACACTCAACAGTAGGGGAACGCTGGAAAAAAAAAAAAAAATTACCAATCTTAGGCCTGGTATCATCCAACTAAAAAATCAGATTTTTTAATTTCGTTATAATTTTTTCCCTTCTATTTTTTGCGATGCTTATAACACATTTAGTTGAGATTTTCATTTTTAGAGGAGGGTCTATGTCTGGCACACTTTAAGACTCAATTTTACAGAGAACAAATAAAAGCTATGTAACATTTACATTAATAATGAAAGTCGAGGAAAAAACAAAACTAATCCTTAATTGAAATAGGAAACAATGGAATCAAATTCATAACAGAAGAAAATAAATAATTTGTTACGGGTAAACAGATAATGTGGAGGGTTAAGGAAACAAGACAGAATGGCTAAGGCATCATAGGGCATTTTCTCTTTATAGTCATTACCCTATGTACATTGTTTTGCTATATGAAAAAGTATAAAAAAAATAACTTAATCATAGACTAGGAGGGATATCGAAAACTAACAATGAACTTCCAATTAACTAAATATAAATAACCAGTTAAATGCTAAATAATTAACACCCCTTGTCCATTGTTTCCTTTGCGATGATGTACTTAAGTTGGACGTTAGAAAAGAAAATAGAACTAAATTAACTTACTACAGACTTAATTGATTGTTTGAATTGAAAAATAATAAAGTAACACTTGCAAATTTAGTAAAAGAGGAATTAACCATTCACTAAATTGTAAAAAATGTCTATACAGTAAATCAAAGAACCTCATAAATAAATGGAGAAAAAATTTTTTAAATGCATTCCTTGAATCAAACAATTGAAAAAACAATTGGCAGCTCATTGCAAAGTAATTAAGTGAAAATTCATTATTTCTTAAGTAATCAAGAACTTTGAATATCTTTTTCTTTATAAAATCAGAAAATTTTGTGCTTCTTGTAAGTATAATTGATGTATAAAAGGGCTTGTTTCATTTCCATGCCCATACAGTGTTTTTGTATAGGTAAATAAAGTCAAAATTAAAAAAAAAAAAAATCTTGAAAGTTAACCTATATCAAATATGCACATAGTGCATGAATTGAATGCAGTAAACGGAGGATATATCAAGAATTTTCACTGGTTAGAGAATTAATAATTGACTATGTTTAACGGAAGGAAATTAACAATCCTAGCAATTGTGTGTGAAAAATTACATAAAATCGCGTTAATTAGCTTTACAGAAATATATTTTGAAAAACAAGGTAAAATGTATTTATAGAGAAATGTCATAGCAAAGAAATAAACAATTCATATTAATAAGGAAAACTAAGATCAATTTTATGCTTACCTTGTATGATTCTCATGAATTTTCGACATCTGTCATCTTCTTTGTTTTCTCCACTTATTTTCTTCTACTTGCTTTTTTTTTATAGAAGAAATAACCAAAAGTAGCAATCAACCCCACGGCAATTCAAGAAGGTCCATGTTGTTTGCTTGGACTGACTCCGTCCTACTGAGCACATTTTCCATGGTTAACGAGCTTCGATTAGTTCCTTATTTTGCCGCAAGTTTGCCAGAAATTTTGCCAAACCGAGTTTGCCTGTAGTGTGGGCCCAGCATAGCATAACGAGAAATATGTTTTACTTGTCTTATGCTATTGTTTCAAATGAGAATCTTTCTGCACTGAAACTGCATACTTTAGTACATAAACTTTAATTATGGTGCATAGTAATGGCTATCAAGAATAATTCATCAATAGCTTCTTTTATCAGTGGCTGATACAGGAATTTTCTTGGTAAGGTGAGGGGCGCATTTATTAATTTTAATGTCTATTTCTGTTTAAAATAGATGAGTTGCACAATCAACACAGGATTAGTATAAATATAAAAATAGCGTTTAAACTTATCTATGTTTAGCCAAATCACTGAATTAAACAAAGATTTTTGTAAAAAAAAAATAAAAATGATATGCTACCTTCAATGTGCATTTCCTCTTCTGGGAGAACTTCAATCATTTCAGGATCACCCTCTTCTCCGGAAATCTCATGAATATCTGGTTCAATTGCAATTTGAAGGCTTAATCGTTCTTTGTCTTTCTTTTTCTTTTTTACTTTTTTATTAACTATCTCATTTTCTGAGTGGTCTTCATTGGATTTTAAAATGGACTCAGAGTGCGATCTAGATGCATTCATTTGGTTTTCATGAGATTCACTATCATTATCCACATTATCTGGATAAATTGTAGTGTGCCTTTTCTTGGTTTTACCACTTTTGGGACTATCATGCTCTCCTTTGGTTTTACAACTGTCACTTAGGATTTCATCACTCTCAAAAACCACACTTTTACGCTTCTTCTTTAATCTTTTTTTAAGTAATTGTTCGTCTTCATTGTCTATTATTTCACTTTGAATTCCCATCACGATTTAAGAAACTATGAAAGTTGAATACAACAAACTAAAATATTATTTTAATATCTTTAAAAAATCAACAAAAATAATACGCAATAGGATTAATACACTTACACTACAGCACTCCACCATCAAAACTGTAAAATATATTACTCAATATAATCCAAATTCAATGCTAAAAAACGTGTAAACAACTCTGGTAGAACCTATTTCTAATCCACGGGCTTCTAACGGGCGACAATGGCGACGAATGAACGTTATACTCCCCACTGAAAAGACGCACATTTGCCCATGCTGAAGTCATGAAATGATTTACGACCCCTAATGCCATAAAAACAATTACTCCATAACCTTAAGCAAAAATTATAGTAAATATTTGTTGATTTTGTTTTTATTAATTAATATTTCGGCAGTTCTGTGTAATTTTTTTCGAAATATACTTAAAAATTAATCAAAACAACAATTTATGAACGATTTTTTTATTAATTAAAGAGTCTTAAGAAACTGTTGATATCTGTGTGAATGAACCATTAATAGCTACAATAACAATAAAATTTTGTACCATCTTTTTTTATTTTGAATTCAAATGATGAAAGAGCCAAATTTTAATCATTGCAACCAACACTTTCATTCTAAAATCCAACACTGTTAGCATAACGAGAAATATGTTTTACTTGTCTTATGCTATTGTTTCAAATGAGTTCGAGAGTTCGGCTCTAGCCGGTGACAAAGACACATCGGCTCCACGGCGGTGTCCTATTTGATTGAGTTTTATTCGCCCAATTGAGCCAAAACTTGACATGTGACCGAAGACGTATGCTGGAGACCTGCTACTTGAATTTCGAAAAAAATCAAGCAAAGAACTTCGCCAGGACCAGGAGGTAAAGAACTCAACGTGCCTGTGGGACCGGGGTCCTTATCGCTGTGCAGAATAGGACTTGTCGGCCCCCTCCACCTCACAGCGGCCGCCTCCATCCAGCAAGGTCAGTGGCGTCTTATCAATACCAACAGCTGTCACCGAAAGAGCCCAACCTATTTTGTTGTTATCATTTTTTTTTCTCTCTCCTCTCTTATTAAAAAAAAAAACTGATCACAGGAAAGCTTGATTATTGAAATTAATGAATTATTATTTATAAGAATTAGTATTTAGCTTTATCAACTGATCGATTTATTCAATTTTATTTATTATTTATTAAGTGGACGTGGGTGTGTTTATTTAATTTTTAACAATATATTTTATATATTTAATTTGTTTTTATTCATTAACTTATTTATTAATACATTACTATTTAACCTAGATTTTATTAATTGTATATTCTAATTTGTTTTTACTTGTTAACTTATTTATTAATCCATTATTGATCAACTCATATATTAATTGTAGATTTCAATTTGTTTTTAATAAACTGATTTTATAGATTTTAACGTTTTACCATAATTTATTTTATATATTTTAACTTAGTTTTAAGCAATAGAGTCTACAGATTTTAATTTCATTTTATATTTTAGCTTAGTTTTAAGATAGATTTTAACTTATTGATTAACCTTTTTAACTTGGGCTCTATTGATTTTATATTGTGACTTATTTTTAATAAATTGATTTTATAGATTTTAACGTTTTACTATAATTTATTTTATATATTTTAACTTAATTTTAAGCAATAGAGTCTATAGATTTTAATTTCATTTTATATTTTAGCTTAGTTTTAAGATAGATTTAAACTTATTGATTAACCTTTTTAACTTGGGCTCTATTTATTTTACATTTTAACTACTTTTAAGCATTTGATATTATTAATCTGATATTTAAGTGTATATGTTGGCATATATGCATGTCTCTCCCGTTTAGTTTTTATTTATTTGTATACGGGTCCACTCTCCTTTAGATGGTTTGTTTTAACCATGCGTGTAGTACGCATGGGTCTCTAGGGGAGATATTGGATTTTGAGTGGACCTAAGGACAATGAATGAAGTCGAGATTGGCCAGAGGGTATGGGTTCTGAGAACTGGAGGACCTGCTCAGGAGGCTGTTGTTGCCTCTGTGATGTCTGTGGATGCCGCGGAGGGCGGCGAAAAGAAAATTGTAAAAGTCGAATGGCCAGACACAGAAGGTGTACTATTGGGAAAGACAGTTTCGATAGATGACGTCTTCCCATCATTGCCAAATGTTCCACAGAATGTCGAGGAGGCGAACAGAGAGCAGGAGAAAGAAGTTCTACGCCCTAATAATAAAGTTTGTCCCATATGTGGGCTTTCTTTTAAGGGTGAAAGAGGTCTAGGAACCCATATTGCCAAAAAACACCCCAGGGAGGCTAATACCAATACACTGAGGGGCATAGTGAAAAATGTTTTAGGGCCTAAAAATGGAGAGGGTGAGGTATCAAAAATAAAAGAGGACATTATCGGATGGTCTACTGTGTTCAAAAACCTCTCAAAAGAAAGCACGATAAATATTGCGGATTTTGATGAGGCCGTAGGCAGGTTCCTGAAATTTCTCAAGAATATCAATGCGGAACTGCCAGGTCCCCAGCACCCAGCCGTCAAATTTTACAGATTGAGGAAAAAAAATAAAACTAAAGTGACTGACAAGGGTGCTGGACAAGTCTCAAATCCGCAAAGAGCGAACAAAGTAGACAGGAGTCGTCGGCAAGAACAGTATCAATATGAGGTTGCACAATATAATTACTATAATAAAAGGAAAAAGGTCGTGCAAACCGTAATGAATGCCGACGCTCCTAAGCGGTGTCCTCTGAAGATGGCCGATATCGAAAAACATTATAGAGACCTCTTTGAGAGCGAAAATCTCCGCAGGCGTGCGGATTACGAACAGTGCGCCCCGATGCCAAATTTGGTGTCCATTGATCTAGAAGCCGTCAAAAGAGCCATTAAATCAACATCAATGGACACATCGCCGGGGCCTGATGGAGTTCTGATCCGCACGATTAAGTATTTTGATGTAGCAAATATTATCAAAGTAATTGCGGAGATAATGCTGAAGGTGGCCTATGTCCCAGAACCACTTCGACAAGGGCGCACAATACTAATATATAAGGGGAAAGGTGATGTAAATAAAATCCCTTCTTGGAGGCCCATCACCATTTATTCTATTGTGCGCCGAATCATAGAGAAGGTTCTGGACCATGAACTAAGAAAGCAGGTCACCTTCCACAGGAATCAGAGAGGCTTTATAAAAGGCCTCCCGGGAACGCACGTCAACGCAAGGATTATCGACGCTATATTAAAAGATGCAAAAGCTATGAAAAATGATTGTGCGGTAGTCTTCCTTGACGTTGTCGGTGCTTTTGACAATGTTGGCCATAAACACATCATGAGCTCCTTAGAAGCAAGAGGTGTGTCACCGGATCTTAAACGTGTTTTATCGGCTCTCCTCTGCACCAACACAATCAAAATTAGTAACGGTGTTCACGCAACTAGCCAAATCAAAGTGCTGCGCGGGGTACCCCAAGGCGGCCCCTTGTCGTCGTCGCTCTTCAACCTGGCCATCGATCATCTCTATCGCGACCTGTGCGATGAAGAATTTTCCAAAAAATTTGGATACAAGTTAAAAAGTGACCAAGGTTGTGTGGTCCTCACAGGTTTCGCGGATGACCAGGCCGTGTCAGCGCGTGACAAGGGGGCTGCAGAAAGAGTGATTGGCAGCGTTCAGAGGACTTTTGAGGAAATTGGTTTGGCTATTAATCCTCAAAAAAGCGTGGGCATCGTTCTAAATAAAGGAGAGCTGGAAACAGCGATGCTCTCCCTTGAGAACGGAGAGTACATCCAAACATTGCAGAATGGAGATACAATCAAGTATTTAGGATGTACATTCTCGGGAGAGCTACAGTTCAACGAAGATTCGGTGACCAAATTGAACGAAAATCTGAATAAACTGGTTACCTCTCCCTTGCTGAAGCCGGAGCAGAAGCTAAACATTGTCAACCAATATCTGTTCCCGGGTCTTACTTACCCTCTCCAAACTGCGCCCCTCACAAAGCTGCGTCCTGCCATACTTGACGGCATCGACACCATGATTCGCAGGAGTGTGAAGGCTATTGTTGGACTCCCTGCGAACACCTCCACGGCGATGTTGTACGCTCCCAGGAGGTATCGAGGATTGGGATTAATCCGCTGCCAATGGGAGGCTCCTCTACAACATTGGTCCATTGCTCAGCGACTGTCCAATGTGCCCGATGCCCTTTTTCAGTCGATCTTTGATTATTCGGCTGAGGTTGATGAATGTGCCGAGAGATTGGGGGTTGATCGGGGTATTCGGAATATGAGAGCTCTACGGCAGTCGCTTCGAGAAAATTCCTTTGAGGAATGGACCAATTGCAGGTGGCAGGGCATTGGAGTTCGCCATTTTAAAGAGACCCCGAAAGCCAACAAATACATGTATGATAAGCAAGTACTTTCTGGGTCTGAATGGTCAAATGCCCTGAAACTGAATATTAATTATGCACCCCTGCGTGGAGTCCCAGGTGTCAGCGGACAGGTAAGAGAAGTTGGGTCCCTCTGTCGCAAATGCGACAGAGAGCCAGAAACACCAGCACATGTGCTTGGAAAATGCCCCAACAACTCCCTCCTTATAACGCGCCGTCACCACCGAGTCAAACATGAACTGATGAGGCTCCTTATAGAGAAAGATTACGCCTGTTTCGAGGAAGTATATTGTATAGATACGGATGGATCCACCCGATATGCCGACATAGTAGCATTCCCTAAGACGGGAAAGTCGGCGATGATTTTGGATCCGACCGTGAGATATGAGACCAACGACCTCGATCAGGCAGGAAAAGTGGAAAGGGAGAAAAAACAGACATATGAGAAATGCATCCCTTTCCTTAGTGAAAAGTTCCGCGAGAGTTTCGGGCCGAGAGAGTTCCACGTGAGAGGCCTTTGGTTCGGAGCTCGCGGAACGATACCAGACTCAACAAGGAGCTTCATGGAGGGCCTTGGTGTCGACATAAAGGACGTGGCAAGGTTGGCAGAGAACATAATCCTTGACTCCCTGGGAATTATCCATCACCATGTGCATGGATAGAGAGTTTGTTCATGGGGGGAGGCATGCGTGTTTTACAGCATTTTTACATTATTTATTGACCACGTCCACTGCACTTTATGTATTTGTATGCATGTTATGAATTAGGTTAGGAAAAGAGAGGAGAAAATCTAGGGAACGAGAAAAATGTATAGAGTGAGAGAAGGAACAGAAAGGGATGTATAGTGCTAATAAATGAATTAAAGAAATGGTAAAAATAAAATAAATAAATAAATAAAAATATAGGAAAAAATTATGATAAAAAAATATATATATAGATAAAAAAAAAAAAAAAAAATTGTATATTATGCTCATATATGTTGTTAATACTATATAATTGTATATTAGTTTTTGAAAATTGTCTGTAGCGATTAATAAGTATGCTGTGTTTAAAGCAACCCAATGTAATTGGGCAGCACCCTTTTAAGATAATAAAGTGATTCTCTCTCCTAGAATCACCAATCCTCTTCTCCTAGAAAATTTAACTCTTATTCAAGAGAAAATTGTTTCTTTTGTGAACAGTTAAAGGTTATAGTACATTTACTTCTATTAATTAAATTACTTCTTGCTGACTGACAATACAGAGGTGTATTAGGAGATTGTATAGTGCAAGTTGCACCATCAAAAATTTTAAAGAGATGTATTTTTATGGGTTTTTAGATTTTTAAGGGTAGCAAATTTAAACATTTAAATTGAAGGAACTTCCACACTACGGAAGAAGAGAAACATGGAACAGACAGTAATTGTAATTGTTTAGATTAACAATTTTTTTTAAAAGTGGCGCCCCCCGGGGAGTCCGATGGGACTCGCGGACGACAGAGGCGGGGTTCGTTGGTTCCATCCATATGTATGCGGATGATACATGTGTGATGGAACTGATGAACCTGTTAGGCACCCAAGCTAGGTCGGGGCGCACGAGCTGAGGCTGAGTGGCAGAGTAAGGATATACTGTATTTTATCGACTCACTTGGGGAACCGGGCGACACCCCATTTTAAGTAGCCGGCTGCAGGGAGAGGGGGTAGTACCTGCAGTTCCATTGACCCCCATACTCGTGGGAACAAAAATGTCCAAACATAAAAAAATAATAAAAATAGTAAATCGTCGGTATCCGAGGAGGACTTGTCCTCCGAGGAGCTTTTAAACTTATCAGAGGTTACCTCCGATACGATAGATGAATCTCTGGTAGGGGAACTACTGAAAACCCTAACAGAGGATGTTGGAACACTCCACGTCCATACAGACTTAAAGGAGAAGGAACTGATAGAGGTGGGTTGTGCAATGGTGCAGGCCCCGGTAGAAAATATGAACGTGGATGAATGTAAAAAGCCAGAAATGGTTAGCAGCCGATCGCATTCTGGACTCGACCAGACGGAGAGCGGGGACCACGAGTCGGAAGACTCGAGGCCTGCCACGTCGAGGACGATAAGGAATGCGAAGAGGCGCAATAGGAGGGCAAAGGCCCAATATATATTAAGCCCAGAAGAAGAGAATAGGCCACCTTTAGAGAACTCTGCAGAGGAAGCAAGGGCCCCAAAAGGCCTGAAGGATAAGGCGGAGAGTCTTGAAAGGGAGGCCTTAGATCATGGGCAAACGACCAGCGAATTGGAGCCTACTCAAAGGCAGGTAGTGGAGGATG